AATTTGTTAAGGAGTTATGCTGAATCAACAGCAGGGGGTCATACTACTAATTACTCTGACGTAATGGAATGCTTATACACACAGCAACAGGAAATTAATGTCATAGGCATAGTGAATGAAAAATTATGTTCACCCCTCTATGAGACTTTCATCTAGGATGGAAGAAACCAAACTGTGATGGTAGAAGTCAAAACTGCTGTTGACTTGGGGCAGAAGATACTAGAGAATGAATGGAAGGGATGTAACAGAAACTTGTCTAGTCATGGAAATGGTCTATATCTTGAGTTGGTAGAGGTTATACAAGATTGTACATATGCACAAAGATGTGTACATTGATAAAATCTCTTGATTTAAAGGAGCATTATTATTATAGGTAAAAATATATCTCCAGTTTCCACAAGGTGAAAAGTATCAGGAATGGAAAAAAATTCCTTCAGATGATCCTCTGCTGTTGATCCAGCATAAATTCCTTAACGTGATCTAATTCCATAACACTTAATACCCCTTGTTCATTTCTCACCATTCCTCTCCACCTCCTATCACTTACTCTAAGTTACTTGTAGTTTTTGAAATGGTATTCTCCTTTTCCTCTGAGATTTTTAAACACAATACTCCTTTCATCTGGAATTCCTTTTCCATTTCCCATTTATTACTAAATCCTTGACATCATTTGAGACTTGTAATGTTAACATTTCCTCTAAGAAGCCTCATTTATTAGCAGTCTACACTAGGTGCTTCCCTTTTTGACCCCAGACAATCTTAAGCTCCTTTTTAACAAAGCATGTAGTCATCTGTAATGTAATTATAGTAACAGAAACTCCTCAGGATTGTAGTAGACTGGGGTTATTTGGTGTGCAAGCAAGTAGGCCTCCACTTATTCTGCAAGCCTTGAAGTAAAAAGTAAAACTAAATTCTATCCATAATAGTCCAAGTTCTAGTACTCAAAGTTATTAAAAAAAAATAAATAAATGAACAAAAGCTTGTTCTATCCCAAGATTATTGGCAGTCTTTCTGGTTTGGGAGTTTGGTTTGAGTCTTTATTTTGTTTATGTTTGTTTTCCAGACCAGGTTTATTAAGTAGCATAGCCTGACCTTGAGTTTATGATCTTCTGCCTCAGCCTCCAGCGTGCTGGGATTACAAATTCTGGCCACCACTCTGGGCATGATTGAGATTTTATTTTAAATGCCAGTTTGATTTCATATTTTTAGTGTTGTATTAGCTTATTTCTATGGTGGTTTACGTGACATTTCTGTGGGCCTAACCAGATTTATGTTGATTCTACAGGAAACTATGTTTAAATTCCAGCCAAGTGACTCCAAAATACTAATCAGTTGAACCATGTGAGATTGGTGATATTCAACCGTGTATGTGTGTCTGTATGTGTGTGTCTGTGTCTGTATGTGTGTGTGCCTCTAAGTGTGTGTGTGTATATGTGTGTGTGTATGTCTGTAAGTGTGTGTGTGTGTCTGTGTGTGTGTCTGTGTCTGTGTCTGTGTGTATCTGTGTGTTTTGTGCATCCATGTTTGTGTATAGGTGCATGTGTGAATGTATGCATGTGGAAACTCCCCAGTACTGGGATTATAATTGTGTACCATTGCACTTGGCTATTTTATGTGGGGCCTGAGGATTGAATTCAGGTCCTCATGTTTTCATTACACTTTACCAACTGAACTATCTCCCAAGCCCGAGTTATTTTACATACAAAAATGTATGTGTGTATACGTGTGTGTGTGTTTACTTTTTTATTTTTGACGATTTCTTACATGTGTACAATGTACTGTGATCAAATTCTCTTTCCCTTATCCTCTCTTATTCCCACTCGTGATGAGCTCATTCTTCCTCCCAACTGGTCCCCCTCCTACTTTCATATCTATTTTGTGATACACTGACTTTAATTGAAGTTGATTTACTGGACCATGAAAACTTACCAGAGGCCCCACTACTGAAGAAAAAGACTCTCCCTCTCCCGACAGCCATTAACTGCCAGTAGTTCCTTCCCTAGGGAGGGGATTTGAACCTCATGAGCCCCTCCCTCATACATAATAGAATATTGAAGGACTCAATCTTGTGTAGGTGACCATGCCATATACAGAAGACAATATTTCACAGTACTCTTCCCCATCTTCTAGCTCTTACATTCTTTCAGACCCCTCTTCCAAGATGTTCTCTGGGCCTTGGAAGGAGTAATATAGAGTCTCATTTAAGAATAAACACTCGACAGTCACTTTTTTCTGCACTTTGAGTGCTACCTACTGAAACACAGCTCTGAAGGCTGAGAGCACCACTAGTCTATAAGTAGATATATATAAACTGGCAATGTGACTGAATGTTCATCCGGCAAAAAAAATACAAAGCTTCCCCTAAGGGCCTGTGACTTCTCTAGCCATGAGCTTTTGACCAGGTTTCCAGTACCAGGCATGCATTTCCTCCTGTGTGGTAAGCCTCAAATCCAATCAAAAAGAGATTGGTTGCCCTCAACTATTGCAACAGTGAATACATCTTTTTTATAGTATTTTTATTTTATAATTAACTTAATTTCACATATTAGCCACAGATTTCCCCCCCCCGTCCTCCCTACTCCCACCCCCCAGCCCTCCCCCAATTCACCCCCCATTCCCACCTCCTCCAAGGCAAGGAGTCAGCCCAGCCTGGTAGACTCAGCCAAGGCAGGTCCAGTCCCCTCCTCCCTACACCAAGGCTGAGAAAAGTGTCTCAGCATAGGCCTCAGACTACAAAAAGTCAGCCCATGCACCAAGGACAGGTCCTGGCTCCACTGCCTGGGGGCCTCCTAAACAGTTCAAGCTAATCAACTGTCTCACTTATCCAGAGGGCCTGGTCCAGTTCCATGGGGGCTCCTCAGCCACTGGTTCACAGTTCATGAGTTTCCACTAGTTTGGCTATTTGTCCCTGTGCTTTTTTCAATCATGGTCTCAATATCTCTCACTCATACAATCCCTCCTCTCTCTGTCAATTGGACTCCCAGAGCTCCACCTGGGGCTCGGCCATGGATCTCTGCATCTGCTTCCATCAGACACTAGATGAGAGTTCTATCATGACAGCCAGGGTGATCAGCCATCCGATCACCAGAGCAGGTCAGCTCAGGCACTCTCTTGACCATTGCCAGTAGTTTACAGTGGGTATCTTTGTGGATTTCTGGGGACCTCTCTAGCACTCTGCTTCTTCCTATTCCCCTGGGGTCTTCATTCATCATGGTATCTCCCTCTCCATTCTCCCACACTGCTCCTGATCCAGCTGGGACCTCCCTCTCCCCTAAGCTCTCTTTCCCCTGACCCTTGCCCTCCATTACCCCCACACAAACCCCCAGTTTTATACATCTTGTCTGAATGGTCAGTTTTGCTGCATGCAGGGTGGCAAAGACCATTGATGATGACTTTTCTCCCTAAACAGCCTGCATAGCACCTTCCAGTACTATGAATGTCAGCCAGCAGGGAAGATGATGCTTCTAACCCATTTCCAGCTTGATTTCTCTGTAGCCTCTAACCTAAATGTGTGGTTTCTTCAGCAATAGGGTCTTAACCATCTAGTTCTGGTAGGTAACCAAGAACAATGGCAATAGCCTATATTGTTTTAGCAGAGTCTTGGAGCTCCCTGGAAAATGGCCATTTCAAGTGGATCAACCTAAATGTTTTTAAATGTGATGTGATTAATAATCTACAGGTTACACATATTCATTTATTGTTTGATATTTAATCAATGAATGTATCCTCCTAGATGACTGTGCCTTAAGGCTACTGGATATAATTGTTTAATATAAAGAATAAATCATAGGTGTTTGAAGACAGTTTGTATAGACTGTTAGGGTTTTCTTGGGTCCAAACCATTTTTTAACTAGTAAATGCACCAGACATAAAGACTCTGGGATTACTATTTTTTTCCAGCTGACAGTAGAATGAAAAATACATCCATTTTAAGTCTCAAAATAACTAATGTGTTTAAAATAGCACTATCTAACATTTACTGGGCATGTATTATATGAGATGGGTACTGTGATGATCCTACAGCTGCTTTCTGAGGAAAGTGCTATTGTCATCCCCATTCTGAAGTGAGAAAAAGAAAGCTGAAGAACTTTGTCCAAGGTTGCACAGCTAGCAAGTGATAGAGTTGGCTTTAGAATCACTTGGGTCTAAAACTCTGTCCATTATGGCCTTATGCACATCCTTTTACCTCAAATGTATATAGTTAAGCCATGATTATCTTTAGTGAAGCCAGACCAATTCACATACAAAGCATATCATATTACTATAAGCTATGATTATAAAACATCAGGGGACCAAATATTAGAATGAGTACCTTTTAATACAAGACTTACTTTTTCAGATACATTATTGTATAAAAACTTACTAATAGAGTGACAACAAGGTTAGGTTTTCCTTCAAAACTAAAAAACAGAATCAGAGAAATCATCAACTGTTGGATTTCACTGAAATGAGTCTTATAGACCACATGGAGTTTGGGAAAGGCAGAGAATTAGTGCACACTTTATCATGACTTAACTCTCATAAGAGAGTTGACATACATGGCACCTCAGGATTGGTTGCTCTCCACTCTGGAAACAAAAACAGAGCATAAGTAAGAATATGGCAAAATCAGATGTATATGATAATGAAGTCCAAGGGGTGATAGAAAATCCAAGGCTAGTTCTGAATAGCCATCAGTAATGTGGGAGAAAAATTAGAAATTTGTGACAAACCCCCAGAAGTTCGTGGACAAATGTAACCTAAGGGATTTCTCAGAACTATTCAGAGCAGAATAGAGAGGCTCCAGGGATTAACCAAAATTTCATGCCTACATGATTAGAATAGTATGATTCCATGATTAAAGTCATTTGAAAGGGGGAGGGAAAGACAAGCTCCGATTTTAGATATATTGAATCTAAGGTAAAGGAGGACTGTCTATTGAAAGCCAGCTAGCTGGTTTCTTATGTTGGATATAACTAACTGAGGTCAACCTTTGACACATCTACTTGTTAATTTCACAGATGGCTCTCCTGAATTTCTTCTTTCCTGATGAAAAGGCATATTCTGAAGAGGAAAGTAGGCGTGTCCGTCGCAATAAAAGAAGCAAAAGTGGTGAAGGAGCAGATGGTAAGTGTATTCAAGTGATCCTTTATCACTCTGACTTATGAAATGTGAATAAAAATACTCTTTATATCTCATGTATTATCCAAATATCACTGGTTTCTCCAGCTTAACCTGCTAATCAATCCTTTACATAGAACTAACAATAGAAAGATCCTTCATCCTCTAACTCCAGATATCTTCAGAAACATTTAAGCCATGTCCACCAAGATAATTTGATCCTATTTTTGGAACTTATAGTGTTTTGCCATTCTGGCATTTATATGACATATTATTTCCAGTGATAATTATAACAATTTTGGTATCTGTTACTATGTCCAAATCTAAACCAAAGCATGTAGCATTACTCTGTAAGTTCCTTGAAGACAAGGATCCACTTGCCTTTATATAACCCTAGAAGCTGGTCTAATGTTTGTCTCACTGTTGGTGTTGTAATGTAACTCGATAGTGTTTACTGTCCCTTCAACTAGGCAGTGATTTACCCATGAAAACTGTTGCCATTATGGGTGTAATAGCTTTGAGTTAACTAGTGGTACATTCAGTGCCATGACAAAATGTTGAGGTAGCTCCTGGGCAGGGTGTTTGAATCACTGTATTTCAATGTTACTGTGTCAATTGACAGAACACTACCCCTTGAGCACAGAGGTTTATAGGAAACATAGCTCTGGGCTGTTGAAAAGCCATCTGGATTCAAAGACAGTGTGTCTGGCTACATCTGCTGATGATATGTGTCTGTAGGGGGTTACAAAGCAATATGATTTTATAAAGATGAAAATGAGATTTTTAAGCTGACATTTGTCAATGTGAGTAGGGTCCAATGATTGAAGCAGTTCCAGAAAGTGGAAGCAATTGACGAGATGGGGCTAGTACTGCCTTAGAGTGAAGGATAGAGAGTACCTGGGGATCATGGAATTGTCTAAGATATTTAACCTTTCACCTAAGCGGCCATAGAACCATTTCTTTAGATGTGATGAGTGTCTCAATGAGTTAAAAGGTGACAAACCAATCCAGATCTTCTTTTTGAAAGCCATTCTTGTTATTCTGCCAAGTATGTACTGTGTTTATCCAACACATCACATCCTTCAAATATTTACTGAGTAAATACAGCCAATTTATATCACACTCGGATACAAGCACTATAAGAATATCTGTGTTTGTTTGGTTAATGTTTATATTCTTACTGCCTAGAAAAGGACTTGGTACGTGACAAACCTCAATGACTATTTCTTGTTCCCCATGGCGGCTTAACTTCAATAGCAGAGATAAACAGAGGGCAAAGTTTGTGGTGATAAGAAAAATACAGCAGTGAAACGGGGGATGGGGTAATGGAGTATACTATATGGTGATATAAAGGAAAATCTCTGTGATCTGGGAGCAGTTGAGAAGAGACCTGTGTGAAATGAAGCTAAGCCAAGTAGATTTCTGAGGGGGAAAAGCAACCAGAAGAACAAAACAAACAAACCAGTGAAAACTCTGAAACAGAGAATGCATGGTGTGCTTCAGGAAGATCAGAGTGAGAGAAAGAAAGGAAATGGGGGCAGACATTAAAACTCACTCTCCAGCCTTTACAGCCTTGTGAGCCAAACTAAAGGTCCTGCTTTCTTAGTCTGCACGGAATGTGGGACTATCAGATGAGTTTGAATAAAGGAATGGCAAGATTTGACCTAGATTTTAGCAGAGTCCTTCTGACTTCTCTATTGAAAATTATTTAGAAAGAACAAGAGGAGGGAGACTCAAAGAGGGCAATATCCAGGCAAGAGATGTTAATGGCTTAGAATAGGGTGGAAGCAGTATAGTTGGGAAGAAGTGGTATCATTCTAGAAGGATTTTGAAGGAATGACTGATAGGATTTTGAGATTGTTAAAGGGGTTGAAATACAAAGAAGAGCCGGGAATGGCCTCAAGAGTTTGGGCTATAAAGAACTAAATGACTAGACTTGCTATGTCAGAGGTGGAGAAGGAAAGGGAGGAGATGTGTGGAGGTGTGTAGGGAATGAGTTAAGAATTTAGCAATTAGACTAGTGGGAGAGGAGGGATGGGTAGAAGACGGAGGGTATCAGTGATGAATAGAGTCAAAGTACATGACATCCTTAAAAGAAATTGTCTTTCTGAAACTGATCACTATGTACTATGAATATATATTAGTATTTTTAATTAAACAGACCAAAACATAAAAGAATATAGGCCTGTTAAATTTGAGATGCCTGTTTAGACAACCAAACAGATACAATTCAACATCACTATCTCAAGATAATGAGCTGGCTCTGTTTTACACAAACATAGAACTTTTCAGTCAAGAAGTGAGTCTCTCGGTAATTCATTTTAAATCCATAGTGATTTGATATGTTACAATACAAATTTAGATTATCTCTCCCAAGTTTCCCTCACAAGTGTCAAAGAAAAAGTGATTTGCCTTAAATAGTTAAGCAATTATTCCAGGAAGAAAATGTCTTTCAAAGATCAAAAACAGGGCTAAGTGCCAGCCTGAGGGCTCTGCAACCAAAGGTGCTGACCGCAGGCGTGACAATCTGAGTTCAACCCCAGGAGCCACATGGCAGAAGGAAAGAACCCATGCCTGCAAGCTGTTCTCCAACCTCCACTTGCATCTTAGCAAGTGCATGCCTTTACACACACACACACACACACACACACACACACACACACACACACACACACACACACGCATGCATGCATACACAGACATGAAAAACAGAACCACATTTAAAACAGAGCAGGAACCATCGGCTCTAAATTTGTTTTGGTTTTGCAACCTGTAGATATCCTCAGACTGCTTCAATTCCCAAGCTATTTTACTGCTATTTAATAAGTTGTATATACACAATTGAAAGCAGTGAAAACATGAACAAGGCCTCAGAGAGACTTACAGAGAAATTTTGGCAAAGGAGCTGATAGATTTATAGGCAACAGGTAAAGGTGACGCACAAATAGGGTAATGTGGTGGGTTCCTAGACTTTCATATAAGATTGACAGCATTTCTCCCCAAAAGAGAGAATCTTAGCTGAGGAAATGTCTCCATAATATTGACATGGAGGCAAGTCTGTGAGGTACTATTGATTAATGATTGATGTGGGAGGACCTAGCTCACTGTGGGCAGTGCCACTTCTGGGCTGGTCAGCAAGCAAATTGAGCAAGCCATGAAGAGCAAGCCACTAAGCACCATTCTTTCATGGCCTCTGCTCCAGTTCCTACTTCCATGATCCTGACCTGACTAGCTGTCCTGATTTCCCTCAATGATGGACCCAAGAGTTGTAAGAAGAAATAAACCTTTTTTCTCCCCAAGTCGCTTTTGGTCATGATGTTTTTATTACAGCAATAGAAACCATAACTAAGACACAGACTTTCCTGTCCATTGGTCTCTTAAACTAGGTAATTAGAAGCATAACAGGCATTGTCTATCTTGCCTTCAAGAGAAAAAGTAGGGCCATCAAGATGGCTCAAAGAGTGAAGGTACTTGCTGCCAATCCTGATGACCTGAGTTCAATGTTCTGGGCCAACATTTGATAGCAACAGAGAAGTGACTCCTGAAATTTGTTCTCTTTCCTTCACACATGTTCATGCGTGCAGACACACACACACACACACACACACACACACAAATTAAATAATTAATGTTGGGGCTGGAGAGCTGGCTCACCAGTTAGGAGCATTTGCTGCTCTTACAGAGGGCCTATGTTAAATTTCCGACATAACCACATGCAACTCCTATTTCAAATGATCTGATACCCTCTTCTGACCTCTGAGGGTACTTCAATGCATATACTGTACTACATTATGTTCAGGCACACACACATACATATAAAATTAATTAACATAATAAATATTAACATTTCTTTTAAAAAGACATCTATCTCCAGGATTATCAAATATTTCTAACCTACAATTTTTTTTTTTTTTTTTTGTTTTTTCGAGACAGGGTTTCTCTGTGTAGCTTTGCGCCTTTCCTGGAGCTCTCTTGGTAGCCCAGGCTGGCCTCGAACTCACAGAGATCCACCTGGCTC